CAAAGGGGGTGAGGACAAACAAAAACCTCTTAAAACCTGTAGTCCCAGCGTTTGGTGTGCAGACACAGGTGGATCTCCCTGATCAAGGCCAGCCTTGTCTAAGGGACAACAGGACTACACAGACAACCCTGTCTAGCAAAAACAAACAAACAAAAGACTGTTCCCTGGGCTTCAGTGAAACCCAATGTCCTTCACTGTGACTGTCCCCAGCTATCCTCTCCTTCAGATCTCACCAGTCCCTCCAAGATCCAGTTCCTCAATTGCAACAGCTTATAGGTCAGAACTTGTCTGCAATCTCAAATTCAATTTGTCAAAAAAAAAAAAAAAAAACACCCTAACCCCCACCCCCAAATCCAAGTGACAGTACAGTTAAGGAATGTCACTGTGAGTCACCAGATTTGGAACCTTGCAATCTTTGATCCATTCTTCCCCTTCCTCCAAGAGAATGGCCAACACATTGTAATCTATCTTTAAGAGGTAGCTGTTTTATAAAGTTACAGGGTAAATAAATGAATTACCCTTGTCAGCTCATCGGATAAACAAGAACCAACCCCTCAATTGTGTTAAAGTTAAAATAAGATGTACTACACCAGAGCGCCAAACACCAGCTACAGGGATATACTCTTTTCTCCTCCAAACCTTTCTACAACCAAAACAGAAATTTCCACCCTACTACAGAATGGTTAAATGACAAAGCAGGAAGATTTGGAATCAGAAAATTGAAGCCATGAGTTGCAGCTATGACACAATAGCTGAGCGAAGTTCTTGTCCCATGGTTTAAGCTTAATGAACTGACCGAATTCAGACGGACTCTGAAGATCAAGTGGCAAGACTTCATTATAAAGTAATGTACCTCTCACTCTCCAGTTACTCAAACGGCACTCGGGCCACTGATGAGGACTCGTTACTGTGGTTCCATTCTGAAACCGAGCCTCAGTAGCAAAACCTCCCATCCACCCATCGCCTACCACTATGTTGACAGTTACTAAGGACATCCTAAGCTTTGGTTTCTTCCTTACAGAGGAACTGATAATCCCACAGGCTGGACTCAGACACTTAGAAGGAAACACGAAGCACTTTACAGGTGCCAGAGAATCGGATTCTAACAGGCAAACCTGATGCTCCCCTCAATACTTTGTTGTTGTTGTTTTGGTTTCTTGAGACAGGGTTTCTCAGTGTAACAGCCCTGGCTGTCCTGGAATTCACTTTGTAGACCAGGTTGACCTCAGACTCACAGAATCTGCCGGCCTCTGCCTCGGGAGTGTTGAGAATAAAGGTGTACCAAACCACACACCCACAATACTTTTAATCTCACCAAAAACCTAACCTTTCCTACAAAACTTTCTCAACTTCATAACTACCATCTCTATTAAATTTCCTTCCAAACAGCTACACACACACACACACACACACACAGAACCAGCAGACTTTTCTCTGTTGCCTTCTGTGCTTTGTTTTCTGATCCGTGTCATGAGTAGACAGACCATTATTTAAAGACCCACATCATCAGAGCCTATATTACAGCTGGGTGTTAAACATACTCATTAAATGTTTGTTTATGACTACACTCGACAATATCAACAATTCCAGCGCTGGAGAGTCAGAGGAAGGAGGAACGTAAGTTCAAAGACACCCTGGTCTATCGGGAAAGTTCCAAGCCGACCAAGTGCTACAGAGCAAAACCCTGTCTCAAAACAAAACGACTTTAAACAGGTGTCCAGACAACTTCAGTCAGTAATAGTAACGCTTCAAAAACAATAAATTTAACCTGGTACGTACAGATTTAAATCCAAATGTAAATTTCATTATTATTTTGAGTGTACTCGAGTTAGGTCATTGGCAAGCGGCCACACCCACCAATCAAAACGTACCGGTCATTCCTGTCACCTCCTGAGCCCGGCAGTTCTAAAATATTCAAGTTTCTGCCACTGTGAAAGTCTTTCCCCACCCGCCTGCATGGTTTGAATACAGCCTAGCACAACCCCCTGCGACATTCTAAGGATGCCCACAGGATGCTCGGACGCCCTCAAAAGCAGGCTGGCAGCTTCCAACACCTAAGAATGTCCCGCACAGTCCCAGGCGGCTCCCAAAGCGGCACGCATCCCTGACAACGGCTTCGCGCCTCAGATAACGCCTGGCAATTTACACAAAATCACCTTTGGTAGCCCAGGGAGAACCGCAAAATCTGAAGGGTTGGGATGAGGAGTGGCGCTGGTCAGGGGCGTAGGACGCGAGCCTGGAGCAGGTCTGGCGCCGGGACGTAGAAGTGGAATAAAGTCGTGCTGGACCCCAGTGGCCCGTCGTTCCCCACCTCACCTGCAACACCAGGGCCTGCGCGGCCCCTGGAGGGAAGCCCATGCGGTCCGAAGGGTGGCGCAGCAGGCGGTAGAAGTCGGTCTTGCGGTAGAGAAAGCCGAAGAGCACGCGCAGAAAGTCCTGGACATTGCCCACGTGCTGCAGGATGCCCAGCAGGGCCTGATCATAAAGCTCAGCAGCCCCGGGCTCCATGGCTCCGCTGCCCGAGGGACGCGAACTCAGTGGGCACCGCCTCACACCGGCCGATTGGCTACTTCCGGCGTGCGTGCCTAACGGCTCCCCCGGACAACGAAGACGCGGAACTTCCGGTCCGCGCTTGTTACTACTGGCGATAAGCGACTGTCCTCCTTGCTCTCCTGCTGGATGTCCTCCACCGCGATCTGCCTAAAGGAGACTGGTATGTAATCCAATATGGTTTCTACAAGTAAAAACGGCCATAGTTGCGGTGCGGAGAGCGCGTACCAGCCATATTTGAAGAGGGCGGAAGTATTGGCTGACGGCAACATGACGTGTTCGCAGGAGATGTTGTCACGTGGTCTGGGAGCCTTTCTAGCTACCTTAGGTAGCTAGAGGGCTTCTTTTTTGAGCCTATCCTGGAACTCGCTGCTCTTGTAGACCAAGCTAGCCTCGAATTCAGAGATCCGCCTGCCTCTGCCTCCCAAGTGCTGGGATTAAAGGTGTGCCCAGTTAGAGGGCCTTCTTAAAGGCAGGGCAACCACGTTTTGTTTGTGAGCCAGAGAAAAGGAAAGAACATTATAGGGTTGTGTAAAATTCATATTAATAACAGAGCGATGAATGAGACACAGAAAGTTGCACCAGAAGAAATTCAAGGTGACTTTGAAAGGAGAAGTGTGAAAAGCTCAAAGAAGGAAAAAGAGATACAGCATTATAAAGTGTATGGCTGTATCTGCATGTATAGTATGTGTATGTGCATGTACACACATGTCATTCTCAGTAAGTGCTTGTCAAAGTAGTATAAACCAGTATAAAGCTGGCTCATGCCTCCAAATTATAGGCCAACCTGGCTACAAAGTAAAACCCTGTCTCAATCAAATAAATAAAAGACTAGGGATATATGTTAGGTCTCAAACCCCAAACAAACGGCTCAAGTGCCTATTAACATATCAAAGCAGACTTGTCCGGCCACCAGTCTCGCTCAGTCCCTACCTGTTACAGGGTCCACCTGTCTGCCATACCCTGCCCTACCCTAACCGGCTGGGCTTTCCCTTCCCCCGCTTCTCTGAATCCGTAATAACTCTGCCATCTCAGTTGCCCCCTTTGACCTCTTGACTCCAGGTTAGTCTTCTCTTCCTCTCTCCCCTCTCCTCACTTGGTCCTGTTCAGTCGGCCAGTAATGTCCACTTGTGGGATATTTGTAGACTGTGTGAAGATACATTGCTATGATTGGTTTAACAAAGAGCTGAGCAGCCCAGAGCTAGACAGGAAGTATAGGCCAGACTTCCAGGCAGAAACAGGAAGTAAAAGAAGGTAATTGAGGCGCAGGGGAGATGTCAACAGACATGGAGGGGGGTCAGATATGCAGAATGAAAGAAAAGTAAAAAGCCACCTGGTGAAAGGTAGATTAATAAAAGCAAGTTAATTTAAGTTATAAGAGCTAGTGGGGAGCTGGGCGATGGTGGCACACGCCTTTAATCCCAGCACTCGGGAGGCAGAGGCAGGTGGATCTCTGTGAGTTCAAGACCAGCCTGGTCTACAGAGCTAGTTCCAGGACAAGTTCCAAAACCACAGAGAAACCCTGTCTCGAAAACCCCCCCCAAAAAAAAAAAAGAGCTAGTGGGACAAGCCTAAGCTAAGGTCGAGTTTCATAATTAATAAGTGTCCGTCATTATTTGTGAGCTTGTAGCTCAGAAAAAAATCCGACTACATCCACTCTGGACTCTCCCAGATGCCTCTACTTCTGGCTATCCTCTCTTATATCTAAAATAAACCTTCTCCTCCACCATACCTAGGACTAGTCATGTCCCTTTTGTTTCTTTTTTTCATTCAGTGTAGCTAAATTGGTAGAGTGTGTGACCATTGTGCAGGAGGCCCTGCGCTGCAGAAACTGTGTTGTGACCCACACCTGTAAACCCAGAACTAGGAAAGGAGACAACCAGAAAACCCACAAGGATCCCGCAAAGCAGACCACTTACCGCCCACTCCCGGCTCTGCAAAGGCTCTGAAGGCTGGAGAACAGTGAGAAGGAAGCAGCGCGCCAGACCTTTTACAGGAGGGAAAGCGCCGGGCGGTGGTAGCGCACGCCTTTAATCCCAGCACTCGGGAGGTAAAGGCAGGTGGATCTCTGGGAGTTCGAGGCCAGCCTGGTCTACAAGAGTTAGTTCCGGGACAGGCACCAAAGCTACAGAGAAACCCTGTCTCGAAAAACCAATAAATAAATAAATAAATAAATAAATAAATAAATAAATAAATAGAGGAGGGAAAGCCCCATGTCATAACCCTACGCCTCCCAGTGAAGGACAGTACTCCCACCCATCACAGGCTCTCATAAGGCAAGTGAACATGTTACAAGGCTGTTTTCTTGAAAAATAGAGAGGAAAAATAGAACAAAACATAATATTTCTATAAACCACTCCCCGGTACATATATCACTGTGTCATGTGCAGAAGTCACCCCTAACCCAGAGGCAGCCAGAGCAGGACATGTGATGAAAACACCATTTCTGTTCAACAAATATTTATTAAGCAGTCTGTGCTTCACAAAGAACAAGATTTATTTTTTTTTATGTATATGAGTGCTCTATTGCATGTATGGCTTTAAGCCAGAAGAGGGCATCAGATCATACTATAGATGGTTTTGAGCCAACATGTGGTTGTTGGGAATTGAACTCAGGACCTCTAGAAGAACAGCCAGTCTTCTTAACCACTGAGCCTTCTCTCCAGGCCAGAACAAAGTGTATTCTCTGTCTCTGCCAAAACCAATGTGCCTGGATCAGGTTGGGCAGCTTGAAGCCAATGGGCCTGTTGCTGCAGGCCGGAAAACTCCCCCACCCCTCAAGTTCTCAGCCTTCAGACAGACACACAGGCTGAAACTAGAGACCAAAATGCATGTCATAGCCCACATGAGGTCAGCCACTACAGGGTGCTGTGAAACCCTCCTCCTCAGGCCAGAAAGAACCATGGGTGCCCGCTGCCTTTCCTGCTGTCCTACAGTGTCACAGCCCAAGGTGGGGCTACTCCCTGTTCTCAGGATGTGAGTGTTAAAGGATCTGCTCTCAGGACTGGCTCCATAGCTGCTGAGAAACCCTGTCTCGAAAAACAACGACAAAAAAAAAACTATTTGCTGTCATGGACTGGAGATTTGTCTTCTAATGTCCACGGGGGTGCCGGTAAACAAAGGCACTTGCCGTTACTGGAAGTGGTGGCATGCTAGGGACGAGGTCTGAGCTCCCTCTCACCCACTCTGCAGTGCTGAGCACTGGGCTCGTGTACGCCCGACTAGTACGCTGCCACTACTACTAATCTACAACCCCATCCTAGAGTGGGGATTTTTAAATTTTGAGTTATATTTTATTTATCCTGTGGGGGTGGGGTGCCACTGCGTGCCATTCAGAGGAGCACTTGAGAGGGTGGGGTCTCTCTTTCCAGCATGTGAGTTCCAGGGGTCCAGCGTAGGTCATCAAGCTTCATGGTAATCACCTTGACTCACTGAGCCGTCTCACTGGCCCTGGAGATGTCTTTTAAATCTTTTTTGGATTTATTTGTTTGTTTTGTGTGTACGAGTGTTCTGTCTGCCCATACACATGTGCACCACGTGCATGCCTGGTGCCTGTGAAGTCAAAAGAAGGTGTCAAATCCCCTGGAACTGGGTTGTAGATGGTTGTGAGCCACTGTGTGGGTGATGGGAACTGAACCTAGGTCCTCTGTAAGAGCAGCAAGAGCTCCTTAACCATTGAGCCTTCTCTCCAGCCCCTAGAGATAGTTTTGATAAGGGAGGGAAAAACTGGGTGAGAAATATCTACCCTGACTGAGCCTGAGACAGACATATCCTCAGCAGCCCCAGGACCCTGGGCCAGAAGGAGGAGGTGATCTCACACTGACCAAAGCCCCGGGAACCTGGTATGAGAGCAAGGGGCCACGGCCAGTTGCTGACGGCTGCCTCATGGTCAGAATGCCAGCCATTTTTCTAGAACAACCTCCCTCAGGCCTTGAGGACACCCAGAGGGAAGACACAGAGCCTGGATGACCTCCTACTCCATTAAAACTTCTGGCCACTTTTGGGCGAAGAGCTGCCAGCAGCACTAGCTCCAGGGGTAGAGTCTTCAAAGCCAGGGTTAACATAGTCTGTGTCGGGGCTGGGGTGCTTGGGACTAGAAGGCTCTGGGGCCGTTGCTGCCTCTGTGGCTAGTTTTTCCTCCAGTACCAGATCCGGGTTAACATCAGGTCCTGCAGAAGAGAAAGAAGAACATAGACCTATGGTCAGAGAGGCGTGCAGATGGCACAGAGATGGCACAGGCATCACAGCTAGGAATGCAAAGCTAGAACGTGGGAGCTGGGCTCCGACTTCATCTGCACCTCCTGCCTCACCCTAACAACAGCCGTTTCAGCTGGCATTTCCACCACCCTCACCAGTCCACCTCAGCAGGCATGCTCTCTCAGAGGGTCCCTGACACCCAGTCTCTCTCTCCCTTTCTCCTGGGGACAATCTGGTACCGACACCACAGGCAACCCTCCCATGAAAAGCACTGTTCCTTACTCTGTAACACAAGCCCATGGCACAGGGCAGCCAAGAAGTCGGGCTCTGTACTTATCATTGCCTTTCTGGGACTCTGTCTACATAGCCCTAGCTTCAGGGTATTCCTGGCTACAGCTACAGCAATGTGGATGATAGGCTTGCAAAGGCCTTGGCACTCCCCAGCCCCTATCGGTCTAGAAACTCTCAGGACTGGTCCATACTGTCCCCAAAACACACATTCTCCTCCCCAAAGATGGCCAGTAAGAGCCTATAAATAACTCAAATGTCAAAAAAATAAACTGGCAAGCATCCACAACTGGTATCAATAATCAACATTCCCAGGTTTTCTCTAGGAAGATATTGGGTGTCAAGGTCAGTCACTGCAGTGCTGGCCACAGTAGTAGAGTCAGAAATAATCCAATGACCAGTAGTTGCAAGCTACCTAAATAAACGTGGAGGCAGTGAGACGGATGAGGAGACATACTTTTCCCTGGAGTATTTATGGGAGTTAAGCACTGAGAAGCACCATCTAAAATCATTATCTATTTTAATAAATTCTTTAGATTATATTGTAAGCACTCCTTTTGAAGTTCACGTCCTTGCAGAAAAAAAAAAAAGATATTGCAGGATTGGGCACTTTGCCTTCCAAAGCAGCAGCTGTGGGATTCTTTCTTGCTAGTCTGGCTGCCTTGAGACCTCTCAGCCAAACAGCCCTTCTGACTGCACCTGCCAGAGGATGAACACGTGAACACGCCCCCTGGTGTTGTTGCCAGAGAACTGTTGTAACTGATGCTAAGAGGCAAGGCTATGATTGGCCCAAAGCACAAGCCAAGTGATGTAATTAATGCTAAGAAGGCAGGCTGCAATTGGCCCAAAACAGAGCCTCAGTGATTAGAGTTGATGCTAAGAGGCAAGATTGTGATTCCAAACATAAACTGTGCTGACCAAAATAAAGTATGATTGCCAGGCAGTGGTGGTGCACGCCTTTAATCCCAGCACTTGGGAGGCAGAGGCAGGCGAATCTCTGTGAGTTCGAGACCAGCCTGGTCTACAAGAGCTAGTTCCAGGACAGGATCCAAAACCACAGAGAAACCCTGTCTCGAAAAACCAAAAAAAAAAAAAAAAAAAAAAAAAAAAAGGCAAAATAAAGTATGATTAATAAAAACTCAGAGAGAGAGAGAAATTGGGGTTCAACCAGAAGATCCGAAAAACAAAACATCCAGCCACTGGCTCTTACCTCAACCTAAGTCTGAAATGGCGATCCTACTCCAGGAATCTCAGAATGAGACAGATTGAGAGTTGTCTCCTCCCATTTTATAATCCTCTCTAGGGCTGGGATTAAAGGCATGCACTGCCTGGTTTCTATTGCAACTAGTGTGGCTGCTGGGATTAAAGGTGTGTGTTACCGTTGCCTGGTCTGTAACGCTGACCACTGGGGGTGTTTTACTCTCTGATCTTCTGGCAAGCTTTATTTATTAAAATACAAATGAAATGCCACTACACCGAAACACACCGTTTCTTGCTATATCACCAAGCTGCTCCAAGTCTACTGAGCAGTCTTACGGGCTGCCCCCTGGTGTTGCAACATCAGGCCCCCTGGGTGCCTGCCCTCTCCTGGGCGCCCGCCCTCTTGGGTTATCTTTTCCTACTTTGTAGCATGGGTAGAACGCATGGCACTGGAGGCTCCAGTAGCTGAGCAGTCACCGCAAACAGCAGTGAGGCAACAGGCTACTTGAAGCCACGGTGCAGCTTTAGAGCAGTCATGGCAGGACACAGGACGACAGATGGAGAGAGGGGGCAAGCGAGGGCAGAGTGCGAGGCTCTAAGGAGTTGCAGCAGAGCTGGGCGATGGTGGCACACGCCTTTAATCCCAGCACTCGGGAGGCAGAGGCAGGCAGATCTCTGTGAGTTCGAGACCAGCCTGGTCTACAGAGCTAGTGCCAGGACAGGCTCCAAAGCCACAGAGAAACCCTGTCTAAAAAAAAAAAAAAAAAAAAAAAAAAGGAGTTGCAGCAGAGAAGGTGTACGCACAGACTGCCCACAGAGTCGAGTCCCCAGGACCAAAGGTGGCAGCACCCTAGGCTGAGAGTGGTGACTCTGGAGGCTACAGGGCTAAGAGTCCACACACCCAAGGCCTACACAAGGGCTGTAGTACCAGGGTGTCGCTTGCTGTGGCTTCCACCTGCCTTCTGCCACTGCTGCTCCTGCCAAACACTAGGGTAATAAAATGCCAGAGACCAGCATCTGAAGAACTTCCCTTTGCCTGCCTGTGATTTCTATCCAGGTGAAGAAAAATACAAAACAAAGCAGGTGACAGAGCAAACAATAGTACAGTGTTTTCAAACTCTGAGTTATTACCCACTAATATTAAATGAAACCTGTAGATCAACACCAGAATTTTCAAAGCAGTGATAGGATAGAACCAAAATATCAGATTCCTTCGTGTATTAGAGAAAGTATTATTTTGTAAGATACTTGTCTTAGTTACTTATCTATGTATGCCCACACACATCATTTCTCAGTGTAAAATATATTTCTATACTTATGTGTAACTCCGTGGTACAGCACTTGTCTAGCGTGTGCAATATTCTAGGTTCCATCCTCAGGAGCACCGAAAAAGCGTGTGTGTGTGTGTGTGTGTGTGTGTGTGTACAAAGGTCAGGTTTAAAAGTCCAACAGAAAAGTGCAACAGGCCACACAAACAGTGTTTAAGACACAGTCAGTTAACAAAGAAACGCGCTTATAGCATATTCAATGAAACACAAAAGCTTCCAAAGTAGGAAGTTATGTTCACAATCTTGGCCTGGACTCCATGAGTTTTCCAAGGGAGCAGGCACCATTTGGGTCAGTACTCAAAACGATGGCATCCTGACAGGGGTGGGCATGGGTACTCACCCAGATAGCTGAGGACAACTGGCAGGAAGACCAGGCCATGCAGCAGGCCCAGCAAGGTGATCACGATGTTGAGGCGGAAGAAGAAGATCTGGATAAGCTGGGCCTGAGCAAAGCCCAAGATGAGGATGCCTGGGAAGTTAGTCATGGCCACTCCAGCAAACACCTGGCGGGGGAGAAGGGCCACATCCAGAAGTCAGGCAGGACATGAAGGGTCCGGCAGAGCACAGGGTGATCCACCTTTCTCCACTCACCGCACTGCCCATGGAGACGGTAGCATCCTTGGCCCTCTCCAGCCGGGTAGCCTTGGTGCTGACAGCAAAGGACCGGGTGATGTGGGACACAAACTCCACAGACATGCCCACTGCCTACAGGCAGAGAGGGAACTTCAGCTGACCAGGCAGTAGACAGGGAAGAAAGGGAAACAAGAAAGCAAGCCAGGCAGGTGTCTGGAGCCTACACAGAGCCGGGGGAGGGGGTTGGCTTATGGGCTCAGATCCTCCTGCGGGTTACCGTGACAAGGTTGATGAGGGACACAGCGTTGTAGCTGATACCCCACACAGCCATGAGACCGATGGTGTCCACAAGGATCATGATGATGGAGAGCAGGTTGAGGATGCCTGACCGCGCATCCAGACCCAGCAGGAGGTAGCAGACAACAAAGGTGGGTACAAAGCAGAGAGCCAGTGTGAAAATCCCCTCAGGGAGGACAGTCAGGTACTGCTCGTAGAACACATTGGAGACCCTGCCAGAGAGCAGGGTGTGGTCAGAGCGCCAGCCATCAGGTGGGAAGGACATCCCATTTCAGGAGGAAAACATGAGAGGTTTGAGTCGGATGCTAGCCCATGTAAGAAGTGAGCAGGTCCCAGGCTACCCCCGGAGTCACCAGAGACAAAACTGGCCCTCATCCCTCGAGATCACTCAAAAGCCTGCAGCCCCCAACATCTCTCGTGTGACTATTACCTCCCACATCCCTGACCCAGCCCTCCAGTTCTCACGTGTAGGGGAAGACCTCGAAGTCTGGGTCTGTGCCAGGCACTTTCCGCAGTTCAGCTGTGATATTGGCTGCTAGCAGCCGGGACGTCCGGAGAGCTTCTGTGAAATCCTCTGAGTTCCTGAGGGGCTTGTGGTAGGCCATGAACTGGGAGGCTAAAGGACCACGGCAGGAGAGGAAAGTCAAAGGTCACACCCATCCTCGCATCCCAGAGACAGTGACACAGACATGTAATCGGGCTGGGTTCAGGATTCTGCCATCACCACCTGAAATTCCTCATCGATTTTCTACAACAGACCTGTATTTCCTTACTTATTTTTAATGTGTGTGAGTTGTTCTGACTGCATATATGTCTGGGCACCACATGAATTCCTGGTGCCCGTGGAGGCCAGAAGAGGGCATGGGATCCCCTCTAACTGGAGTTAATGGCAGTTATGAGCTGCCATATGGGTGCTGGGAATCAGACCTGGGTCTTCTGGAAGAGCAGCCAGTGCTCTGAACCTCTGAGCCATCTTTCAGGCCCAAGACCTACATTTGCACTTTGCATTAGCCCCACACCCCCAATGAACAAACAAACATAGTTGCTCCTCCTGCCATTCTCTGAAACCCAAAGTCAGTCATTTAACTGTCAAGGACAGTTGAAACCTAAAAGAGTACCCCTGGGGCCTGGAGAGATGGCTCAGGGCTTAAAAACACTGGTTGTTCTTCCAGAGGTCCTGAGTTCAGTTCCCAGCAACTACATGGTGACTCACAATCATCTGTAATGAGATCTGGTGCCCTCTTCTGGCCTGCAGGCAGAACACTATGTACATGTTAAATAAATAAATCTTTAAAAAAAAATCACCCGGGGCTGGAGAGATGGCTCAGTGGTTAAGAGCATTGTTTGCTCTTCCAAAGGTCCTGAGTTCAATTCCTGCAACCACATGGTGGCTCACAACCATCTGTAATGAGGTCTAGTGCCCTCTTCTGGCCTGCAGACATGCACACAGACAGAATATTGTATACATAATAAATAAATATTTTAAAAAATCACCCCTGAATACCGCCTGTAATCACACACCCAGCAGGCTAAGGTAGGAAAATAACTGCAAGTTTGAGGCCAGCATGGGCTATAGAGCGAGTTACTGTCTCAAAATCAAAACAAAACTGAGAGATCTCCCTGGCAAAACCAAATCCTCCTTGTGTGCTTTCAAAACATGTACTGGATTTTTTTTTTCTTTTTGAGACAGGGTTTCTCTGTAGCTTTGGAGCCTGTCCTGGAACTATCTCTTGTAGACCAGTCTGGACTCTGCCTCCTGAGTGCTGGGATTAAAGACGTGCACCACCACTGCCCAGCTCACGCACTAGATTTTTACATAAAAAACTTAGCCTGGTTTTCGTTGAAGTATGATGCTTCATTCTTATGGTCTCAGTACCTGGGGGGGGGGGGGAGCAGGAGGATCAGGAATTCAATACTACATAGAAAGTTCTAGACTAATGTGGGTTATGTGAGAACCTGTCTCAAAAAAATATTAATTTTTCAGTTTGCCTATTCCTAAAGGAACAGACTAGAAAGGAACACAGGCAAACAAAAATGACTGGGTTATTAGAGCCGTGACTTAGGGATCCTGCCAATAAGTACAATTGTGTTTTTTCGTTTTTTTTGTTGTTGTTGTTGTTTTTGTTTTTTTGGTTTTTCGAGACAGGGTTTCTCTGTGGTTTTGGAGCCTGTCCTGGCACTAGCTCTTATAGACCAGGCTGGTCTCGAACTCACAGAGATCCGTCTGCCTCTGCATCCCAAGTGCTGGGATTAAAGGCGTATGCCACCACCACCCAGCTGTGTTCTTTTTTTTATTTTTATCTTTTCAAGACGGTGTTTCTCTGTGTAGCCCTAGCTGTCCTGCCACTCACTCTGTAGACCAGGCTGGCCTTGAACTCGCAGAGATCCACGAGACACACAGACAATGTACAAGGTGCCTGTAGAACCTGATGTCAAACGTGAGGAGCACCTGCAAGTGGTTCACAGCTAGAGGCATGGTCATCCCCATCCAGAGATATGGTCTAGCAAGTCTCAGGCAAGGCTTGGGCACATCTAACGTTTTCCTGATGATGCTGATACTGATATGTGGTGGGGGACGGGGCTCTCACTTGGAAAAGCGCTGCTGTAGGGTATTAAGGTCCATGATGGATGCAGACCTACCCTGAGTTATATGGACCAGGGTTCCCTCCAAGAAACAACCCACCCCTCTGTCCTTGACACCCCACTCCCTTTTGACTACATGGGGTCTGCATGCCTTGAGATGAGGACTGGGGTAAGGTGGGCTGCCTTCTTGGAAGATGGGAACTTCATAGGAGAGTTAGCTGAGAGGGTGGAGTAAGTGTGCTACAGCTGTAGTTAGTACAAAATGAACTCATTTGATGCTCCCCCATCTCCGTGCCAGCGCCACCAGGGTAGTCAACACAGATCTCACCAAGTGTACCTCCCTCCATGCAGATGGCTATCTGGTTCTCCTACCTGCTGTGCTATGCTGATAACACACTGGATCCTTCTCCCCACCAGTCTGACTTCACCCCCCTTGTTGCTGTTGATGGCTCTCGGGCTTCCCCTACACAGTGGCATCCTACCTCATTTAGTCAGCTGCTGCTGACATCGCCATATCTCACACACACACACACACACACACACACACACACACACACACACACACACACGGGTGACTGTTGAGATGGGCGGCTCCCAAGTATGACAGAAGCTCTTAGAAAGGCTACCATAATTCACAGTGGCCATGGACTGGGGGTGAAAGAATGACTGAAGTCCTAGCTCATGGAGTTGGGAAGTAGGTTCCTTGCTGACAAGCCCAGGACAATCACACACACGTGCGTGCACATACACCTTCACACGCGCATGCACACATACACATATCAGACACACAGGCACTCTTGGGGGACTCTAAAGCAACTAGCTGACTTGAGACCTCCTCCCCAAAGTAGGCCATACTTACCTATAACCTGGCCATCTGAGCTCATATTCACGGAGGTTCTATACGCTGCTAGACCCCTGCAAAGAAGAGGCCAGAGCAGAGGCTTAGTGGGGATGAGACCTGGTCCTGTCAACCCGCCCAGTGTATCCCAGGGAAGCTGTGACTGGACACTTCTGTCCCTCTGGGTCCACCATCTCCAGAACCCAGCAGGAGCCAATCTCTGAACGTACCCTTTGGGACATCTGATGTTGGGTGGGTCGTTCAGGAACCAGGGCAGGTACTTGTCAAACTGTTCTGGTGTGGGCCTCACGGGGCCCAGCGTGAAGCCCATGCAGTTTCTTAAACAGTTGAAGGAAGCTGCAGGGAGGAGGGACTCTGGGCAGTGACACAGCGGGCCCAGCAGCTCCTGTTGTGACTCCCCCTCTGTTCCCCAATCTAAGGTCCCCAGTGCTGAGGAGTTTACACCTGCCACCCTCAATTGGTCACTACAGGCTGGTAGGAGAGGGACCCTAGGTGAAGCATTGGGTTCTTTCACACTATAAACACAGCACCTTCACACACAGGGCCACAGCCCCACTCCCAGTCCACTGCCCACTGCCCACAACCAGCATGGTCTACAAGCAAAGGCATAAGACCCCAGGGATGCACAAGTGCAGGTGCCTCAGGCCTAACCTGCCCGAACCCTGTGGGTGTGGTGGGGGAACTGAGAGCCTTACCAATCCTTTCTCCTCTCTTGCCTCAGTTTCCCTAAGCTGTAATGGGCAGTGAGCCCCCTGCAGCCCCACACTCACTATCGGTTGAAGGACAGAACTGATCCTTATTAGGACCAAAGGAGTAAAGGCGGCAGCAGGTGGATGGAGTCAACCAGTCGATGAAGTCGTCTACCCAGGAGGATGCAGGGATCGCCAGATAAGACCTGAAGCCAGACATGGAAAGTAGGTGGAGCCAGGGAGCCTGGTGACTCCTTCCTGAGCCCTGCACTGGGCCTCCTCTGGCCTTGCTAGCTCCAGGGGCAGAGCACGCAAGAAGAGAAAACAGGAGAGGAAGAAGAGAAGGGGCAAATCGGGGTGCCGTGGGAGACCAGCCACTTACTCTTCAGGGAATTCAGTGGCATACTGGATCTTCTGGGTTAGGGAGAAGCTGTCACAGCCTGCACTAGAGCAAATGGCATTCATGCCTGCCTCGCTGGAGAAGTTGTAGCCCGAGGTGGTGACAAAGTACACTGGAGGCCCCACTTCAAAGTATCGGTTCAAAAAGAGGAAGTAGTCGATCAGGTAGGAGTCCTGGGAAAGAAGAGACTCTCTGAGTCTAGGGGAACCGTGTACACCCAGTTCGTACAGAGGCGCATGCTGAACAGTTCATGTGAACGTACCTACTGAGGTAAGCCGAGAAGTGTACAGAGGAGCATGTTTAGAGGTGCACACACACGGTGTACACACGGATAAACACTCAGATATGCGTGCTCAGAGGCACATGGAAAGGAACTCACTCAAAAGTATCCAGAGTGCACGCACACATACATACAAGACACAGAGTGAGGTACACGCAGAACTGTGTACTCAGAGGAACAGGCCCTGACACACACATAAGTCCACGCCAAGATACACACAGGTCCCAGGAGACATCAAGTAAACCCATATATGCACTGTAAGAATTTCAGAAAGAGAGGAAAAATGAAAGAAACAGATTATTTGAAGAAATAGTAGTCAAACATCCCCCAGATTGATGAAAGACATAAATATAAACATTAAAGGAACTCAGGCAAGGTCTAATAGAACAAATTCAAGCAAATCTAGCCCAAAGCACATGGTAATACAAATGTCAAAAGCCAACATCAAAGGACATTGTGGACAACACAAGAGAAATTCTTGTCACACGGAAGGAATGCAATGCAGCCATTTCCACCCTCCTCAGCAGCAAGTTTGGAGACGGTGGAGTTAGGTATTCAAAGTGGCAAAACTGTCTCTCAGAGAGGAGGGCTGGGGTGCTTAGCTTGCAGGGAGCCAGTAGCTTAGGACAAGTGTGGTGGTGCACACCTTTAGTCCCACGACTCGAGAGGCAGAAGCAGGCCATCTCTGTGAGTTTAAGGCCAACCAGATGAATGCAGTGAGTACCTAGTGAGACCCTGTCTCAAAAAAAAAAAAAAAAAAAAAAAAAAAAAAAATTTAGAAAGGGGAAGTTA